CGGGAAAATATGCCAGGAGTGGACCTCGACATTGGAATTGGGCAAAAATACAAGGGGTTAACCTTCTGGTTGGAATTTGGGCAAATATGAAAGGGGTCAACTTTCTGACTGGGATTCAGGCCAAAATGCAAGGACTGAACCTTATGTATGGAATTGGCATAAAAAAGCAAGATGTTAACCTTGTGACTGGAATTCAATTAAAAATGGAAGGGTTAAATATGTGAGTGGAATTTGGACAAAAATGGAAAAGGTTAACACCTTGTGACTGGAACTTTGGCAAAAATGCAAGGAGTAAACCTTGTTACTTGAACTTCAGTAAAAATACAAGGGGTTAACTTTGGTGAAAAATACAGCTGCAGGTTAACCTTATAACTGATATTTGGGCAAAAATGCAAGGGATTAACCTTCTGACTGGGATTTGGGTCAAAATGCAAGGACTGAACCTTGTTTATGGAATTGGCGTAAAAATGCAAGAATTTGAGCAACAATGCAAGGTGTAAACCTTGTGACTGAAACATGGGCAACAATGCAAGGGGTTAACCTTGTGATTCGAATTTGGGCAAAAATGCAAGGAGTAAACCTTCTGGTTTGAATTTGGGGAAAAATGCAAGGGGTTAACACCTTGTGACTGGAACATGGGTAAAAATACTAGGGGTTTACCTTCTGACTGGGATTTGGGGGAAAATGCAGGGAGTAAACCTATTGACTGGAATTCCTGAAAAAATGCAAGGGTTTAACCTTGGTGAAAAATACAAGGGGTTACTCTTAAGAATGGAATTTTTTAACAAAAATGCAAGGTGTTAACCTTGTGACTGAAATTTGGGCAAAAATGCAAAGAATGAACCTTGAGACTGGAATTTGGGCAAAAATGCAAGGTATTAACCTTACCAGAACTCAGGTAAAAATACAAGGGGTTAACCTTCTGGTTGGAATTTGGACAAAAATGGAAAGGGTTAACCTGTTGACTGGAACTCGTGTAAAAGTACAAGGGTTTATCTTCTGAGAGGAATTTGAGCAAAAATGCAAGGAGTAAACCGTCTGACTGGGATTTAGGCAAAATTGCAAGGGGTTAAGCTTCAGACAGCATTTGGGTGTAAAAATGGCAAAGGTTAACCTTGTGACTGGAATTTAAGTAAAAATGGAAAGGTTGAACCTTTTGACTCGGAAAAATGCAAAGGTTTAACCTTCGATCTGACTGGGTTTTGGGCAACAATGCATGGAGTGAACCTTGTGATGGGAATTTGGGCAAAAATGGAAAAGGTTAACACATTGTGACTGGAACTCGGGTAAAAATACAAGGGGTTAACCTTCTGGTTGGAATTGAGGCAAAAAAGCAAGGGGTTAACCCCATGAATGAAATTTGGTGAAAATGCAAGGTGTAAACCTTGTGGCTGAAACATGGGCAACAATGCAAGGGGTTAACCTTGTGATGGGAATTTGGGCAAAAATCAGGGGTTAACCTTCTGGTTGGAATTGGACAAAATGGAAAGGGTTAACCTGTTGACTGGAACTCACGTAAAAGTACAAGGGTTTATCTTCTGAGAGGAATTTGGGCAACAATGCATGGAGTAAACCTTCTGACTGGGATTTGGGCAAAATTGCAAGGGGTTAAGCTACAGACAGCATTTGGGTTAAAAGGGCAAAGGTTAACCTTGTGACTGGAATTTAAGTAAAAATGGAAGGGTTTAACCTTTTGACTAGGAAAAAAGGGTTAACCTTTGATCTGACTGGGTTTTCGGCAAAAATGGAAAAGGTTAACACCTTGTGACTGGAACTCGGGTAAAAATACAAGGGGTTAACCTTCTGGTTGGAATTGAGGCAAAAATGCAAGGGGTTAACCTTGTGATTGGAATTTGGGAAAAATGCAAGAAGTGGACCTCATGAATGGAATTTACAGGGGTTGACCTGACAACTAGAATTTCAGTAAAAATGCAAGGGTTTAACCTTGGTGAAAAATACACAGGGTTAACATTATGAATGAAATTTTGACAAACATGCAAGGTGTTTACCTTGTAACTAGGATTTGGGCCAAAAAAATCAAAGGGTTAACCTTGTGACTGGAACTTGGGGAAAAATGCAAGGGGCTAATCTTCTGAGAGGACTTTGGGCAAAAATGCAAGGAGTAAACCTTCTGACTGGGTTTTGGGCAAAAATGCAGGGGGTAAACCTTGTGATTGGAACTCTGGTAAAAATACAAGGGGTTAACCTTCTGGTTGCAATTGAGGCAAAAATGCAAGGGCTTCACCTTGTGATTGGATTTCCGGCAAATATGCAAGGGGTTAAACTTATGACTAGAATTTCAGTAAAAATGCAAGGGTTTAACCTCGGTGAAAAACACAAGGGGTTATTTTTCTGACTAGAATTTGGCCAAAAAATGCAAAGGTTTAACCTTCCGACTGGGTTTTGCACAAAAATGCATGGAGTGAACCTTGTGATGGGAATTTGGGCAAAAATGGAAAAGGTTAATGCCTAGTGACTGGAACTCGTGCAAATATACAAGGGGTTAACCTTCTGACATTGTTGTGGGCAAAAATGCAAAGGAGTTAACCTTGTAACTGGATTTGGGCGAAATGGCAACGGTTAACCTTGTGACTAGAATTTCAGTAAAAATGCAAGGGTTTAACCTTTTGACCAGGAAAAATGGATGGGGTAACCTTCTGACTGAGTTTTAGGCAAAAATGCATGGAGTGGACCTTGTGATTGGAATTTGGGAAAAAATGCAAGAAGTGAACCTTGTGATTGGAATTTGGGCAAAAATGCAAGGGGTTAACCTTCTGACTAGGATTGGTCAAAATGCTAGGAGTAAACCTTTTGATAAGCATTTTGGCCAAAATGCAAGGGGTTAACCTTGTGACTGGAACTCAGGTTAAAACACAAGGGTTTAACCTTGGTGAAAAATACATGGGGTTAACCATATGAAAAGAATTATGGGAAAAATCCAAGGTGTTAACCCTGTGACTGAAATTTGGGTAAAAATGCAAGGAGTGAACCTTGTGACTCGAACTCGGTTAAAAAATACAAGGGATTAACCTTCTGGTTGGAATTTGGGCAAATATGAAAGGGGTTAACTTTCTGACTGGGACGCAGGCCAAAATGCAAGGACTGAACCTTATGTATGGAATTGGCATAAAAAAGCAAGATGTTAACCTTGTGACTGGAATTCAATTAAAAATGGAAGGGTTAAATATGTGACTGGAATTTGGACAAAAATGCAAACTGTTAACATGTTGACTGGAACTTGCATAAAAATACAAGGGGTTAACCTTCTGAGAGACATTTGGGCAAAAATACAAGGAGTAAACCTTCTGACTGGGATTTGGGCAAAAATGCAAGGGGTTAAGCTTCAGACTGCAATTTGGGCGAAATGGCAACGGTTAACCTTGTGACTAGAATTTCAATAAAAATGCAAGGGTTTAACCTTTTGACTAGGAAAAATGGATGGGGTTAACCTTCTGACTGGGATTTGGGCAAAAATGCAAGGAGTGAACCTTGTGATTGGAATTTGGGCAAAAATGCAAAGGGTTAACCTTCTGACTGGAATTTGGGCAAAAATGCAAGGAGTGAACCTTCTGGTTGGAATTTGGGGAAAAATGCAAGGGGTTAACACCTTGTGACTGGAACATGGGTAAAAATACTAGGGGTTTACCTTCTGACTGGGATTTGGGGGAAAATGCAGGGAGTAAAGCTATTGACTGGAATTCCTGAAAAAATGCAAGGGTTTAACCTTGGTGAAAAATACAAGGGGTTACTTTTAAGAATGGAATTTTGACAAAAATGCAATGTGACTGGAACTTGGGCAAATATGCAAGGGTTAACTTTATGACTCAAATATGGAGAAAAATTAATTTGTTACCCTTGTGACAGTAATTTTGGCAAAAATGCAAGGGGTAAACCTTGTTACTCGAACTTCAGTAAAAAAACAAGGGGGTAACTTTGGTGAAAAATACAGCAGGTTAACCTTATAACTGATATTTGGGCAAAAATGCAAGGGATTAACCTTGTGACTGGGATTTTGGCAAAAGTGCAAGGAGTGAACCTTATGAATGGAATTTTGTCAACAATGCAAGGTGTTAAAAACTGTGAGGCTACTTTGCAAAAGTGAGCGAACAAAACTACAAGGGGTAAATCTGGGAGTGGGAATCAGTTTAGAAATGCAAGCCTGGGGTTAACCGTTTGACTGGAATTTGGTTAAAAGTGCAAGGGGTTAAATGGATGTTCCCCAGCAAATTAAATAGAAAAGACAAGAGGTAAAATACAAACAAAAATTATTTCTTCTGCATTATTTTTATCCTTTTGTCCTCCCAGAAAAACACTGACATGCATTGTTCATGAGGCCACAGATATTAAATACCCATTAGAAAAGAAATACTGGAAATAAAAATTAAAACAAAATAAAATTGCAAGAACAGGCTTTTATGAGTAAATTAATAAACAATATAATTAGATTAAAAGAGTTACAAATGAAATAAATCCAGTACCATTAACCACTTCATGCCGGGGCATTTTTCAATGTTGATGATGCTGGGCCGGCGACGATCATTTTTTTCGTTTTCAAAATCCTTAAAAAATTCATCATTTCGTTTACGGTCGTTTATAGCCACACGAAGTAATCTTTAGGCACTACTCTAAGTTGACAGGTGACCTTCATTAACACCCGAGTATTTCAGTCAGGCCTGCAGCCTTGTTAAAAAGAGCCCAGATTCTGAGGTGTTATGTAACTTTCTTTTGTTCATGAACCTGGCTCAGTGCACTGCTGACCTCTTTTCAATAGGGGCCAGATTAGCGTGCAGTAGTGCTGTGTGGCTCATCGCTGCGGTGGTGTAGCGCTTTTGTCCCCGGTGATAATCCGCTCGCTCTCAATGCCCCAAACCCTGGTATAGGGTTTCAAAACAAGGCTGAATTGTCCCCACTTTTGAGAGTAAAAATGTCGGTAATGCCCAGCAGCCTGGTCTTTTGTTCGGAGTACGGTCTTTTGTTACAGGACCCTGTTTCCTTTGTCTGAGTTCGGAGACCCCGGCCACGCATATAAACCATATGTCTCTGGTTCCGGAGTCCCCGGCAGGAAGTGGTTAATAGGACAAGACATATAGAGAATGGCATATCGGTCAATAAAGCTATGTAAAAGAAAAAAATAAGTCAAAAATGTTAACTCAATTAGTTGGAAAACTACTGACAATGGAAATCTTTACGAATAAGATAACCACTGCAGAAAACAGAAGAAATTTCCAATTACAAAGAAAACAGTTAAGGGGTTTGCCTAGTGTCAAAAAGCGCTTTCAGTACATGGATTCAGAAAAAAAACTAGTTAAGTTCTTCAACTTTAGTAACAATAATAAAAAAGAAACAGTGATACTTGGGGACAAAATTGTGGAAAAGAAACATTTGTAAACATGTACCGGCTTCATAGCCAAATTTATGGAGGAACACGTAACCTGGCAAAGAGAAAAAGATGAGAGTAAACGTAAATAAACGGTAACCACAAAGTAACTCTTGGCACAATTTGTGCCACACAAGTACAGAATTCAGGTGTTGAAGAAATAACACAAAACTTGAATTCTAAGTTATGTATCCTCCTTCCTCTTAAAAAACCAAAAAGGAACATAAAACAAAAACCTTTAATTTGACCAAGTTTATGTGAATATGCAGATGTTATCTTACCTGAACATGCTCTCAAACCATAAAATCACTTTAGAATAAGTAAATTCTGAAAACGACATCTGCAGAAAATTATCGATTGCCATGACAAAAAAATTTGAACCCTGGAAAGAAGCTGATATGAGTTTGACATCAAATTCACCTTGCATTGTTTTGTAACATGGCTACTTGTATGCCAACTGTGCTTCAACGACTCCTTCCATGGGATGATTGACTTTACCAAACTGAAGGGCTTGTAAGTTGGTCTTGTCCCCCATCCTGAACTCTTTCTTCCCCCTGTCTGTTGGATCCATCCCACGGCGACCCTCTTCATAGTTGGGATACTTGGCATGCGGGTCATACCCTAGTCTGTACAGCATAGGCGCTATAGTGTCTATGTCTGCCAAGACGTCTACTGGGATATGCCCCACCCACTTCGTCAAGGCTCCTTTGTTGATGGGCTTGATCACTTGATCAGTTGATCTCTCCTTCCTGAAGATCAAAACAAGAAATAATTTTTTTTAGTGATACAAATTTCTAGATATATCAGCAGACTGCCTTTTGCCGAGTCATGGTGATCTAACTTTCCATAATGAGCAATAAGCATAAACCAGTATAAACGAAATTAAAGATTTCTTCATTTAATAGAGCCAAAGACACATTCTCACTTAGAGAGCGAAATGCCTCCAGGTTTGCCAACAGCATCTTCATGATGAAGTACTGCATCACTCCAAGGAATATCTAAGAAATTCAAGATTGTCCGCATCCATTGCTCTGAATGAAGCACAAGTTGTTCATAGTGCACAGGCAAACAAACATGTGGCCCTTCTTCTAAACACTGAATGTACATCTTTTCAATGGAACGGTTCCATTTAGTCAAGCAATCACGATAGCTGGTAATGTTATACCCAGTGATACCAACATGCCTCGAGATGATGGAATGAACAGTGGCTCTTCCATCTCGTATCATCAATAGATACTTTCCATTCGGGAAGACACTATGCAAGTAGGATAACGAGGAGAGTGTAAACGGGTCTTTATTGCATAATCGCTTGGCTGGTTCCCCGTGTTTAGCCATGACCTCCAACACAAACGCAGCCACAGCATCATTCATTACTTCGTCATCAATACCAGCCTCCAGCAATCGATCTCGCTCACGTTGGTTGTTCATCCACTTGGCACGGCTTCGCATCATATCTGGAATAACACGCGTCTCCTCTCCACACCTCACATCTGGATGGGCATCCAGTAACGCTCGCATCAACGTCGTGCCACTGCGTGGAACTCCACCAACAAAAATCAATGGTGAATTCCTGTCGTAGGAATACTCCTTCTGATTCCGATCAAAGACAATATGCAGTGTTTCCTTCTGCGTATAATACACTTTGTCTTGGACTGAAATTATTCCACGCACAACACACGCAGTAAGGACCACCAACACAATCAAACGTGTCAACCGTCGTTTAGCAATACGGTCCAGCACACACTTAGCCATTGCACCAATCAATATTATTTGATTTTAAGGTTTAGCAGTCAAACTCAAGCGAAAATGTCTCAGCTTGGTCCACGCCAAAATCAGGACAATCATCAATCATGCAAACTTCCAAATGTCTGTATTCAGCATGAACAATCAATCTCAGGCAATGAAGCCAGTTTCCTGATGAATAAGCAAGACCATTCACCAGAATGCAATGAACGTCACATCTGAGCATGAAAGTACCAAGGGACCACTATTAAAAATTGATATTTATAAATATTTACCTTCTGCAAATTTTTCCAGTCCTTCATTTCTGACATGTCTTCTTAAGCACATCTCCACTGCAGCTGTAGATAAAACACACACAAACCACAAAAACAGTTATATGCGTGTCTATGAAATGAAACTAATTTGAAGTAAACAAACAGACAGAGCATGGTAAATTTCATGCGTACACACAGGAGTTATAATGCCACAACTGAGCAAATACTGACGTCGTTAAACCTCACTGTGTACATGAAACTCTATTGCTTGTTAATATTCACATTAACAAAAGTTACAGGAACAGCTGAAGGTATCATTTTCGATTGAGCAATGTACACACTCTGCCAAAATAAAATCATTTTCCTGTAAAACATACAAGAGAATGATGTCTTAAGTTTCGAATATCCTTTGTACTTACCAGACGAAAAGGAAATAATGTACTTGCATACAAAATCAGGCACACTTGAAAATGTTGTTATGTCACAACTACAGTTTCTGGAGCAAGCTGTATATGCATTTCGGTAAGTCTGCAGGAAGATACAGCGATCCTTGCCCGGAGGGGTTGGTAACATTTTGGTATCAAAGTGCTTAGGAACAATACTTCCAAATCTTGCCACATTTTCGCCATGCAGTTCACTAACATGTTCCATACTGACACAAATAACCATATAAAAATAAACAATACATGTATTAACAGGTGATGACAATTAAAAGTGATTTTAGTTGTAATTTTTGTTTCATGCATTTTATGACAGCTCAATGCCTCAATCTCAAAACATTAAAAGAAAAATCCTATATGTTTACATTTTAAGTACATGTTTTCATTCAATGATCACGTAACTTGTAGACGTAAGCCATGAAGTTGCAACATACAACCAATTGAACACAACATGGTTCCTCAGTACTAGTCAGATACATGCTGTCCATGTACTTAACTTGATTTCTGACATGCATGGGGGTGAAATGGGGGCCATTTTGTATCCCACATTCCTACAGCTAAAGGCTCTTAATATTTTTTCGGAATACTTCACATCCAGTGTTGGAGTAAGTCCATCATACTGGTACCTCCTTTCAGGAGTCCCTTCATAAGGCCAATCATAAGTAACAGGATGGAGTGAACAATAACAAAAGAACGCTTTTATAGTCACAGCTCATTTGAATAGCTTATAAACTTGTGACGGACTTGCAGGGGCAGTGATGGACTCATATGAAATGCTATTCACATCACAGTCACTTAGATTCTGGTACCCAATATGGTTTGCAGAGGTTGATGGGAATAGGGGTAATTCCAGAAATTAGGGATCCAAAAGTGACATTTTTGTGTCCCTATCACATCTGACCTTTGTTAATTGACATGCAAATATCACTGAAATTGATTTCAAACTATTACTATTTGTTTGGCAGGTAATTTGCATTAATTTATCAGCCTTGGAAATTAGAAAATGTGTTCTGAACTTACAAAATCATATGTCAGATGTGACAGGGACACACAAAAATGGAAACCTAATTTCTGGAATTACGCATATACTAAATCTGCAAAGGTAGACTTGTGTCTTGTAATTAATTACCTTATTTATCAAGCTGAAATGTTAAATTCTGATCAGATTGACAACACAGCGATTAAATTCCTTCAAAATCCTTTTCAAGCAAAACCTGGAATACCCTGGGTTAGATCTCATGGCTTCAGACATAACGTCAAGCACGATTTACACAAACGTGGCCAATCTTTACCATCATTCTGTATGTATCCACATTCATCACAAACACTGACTTTGCTTCTTTAAGGGCAAAATGCCCAAGATGAAAATGGCAGATCCAAAACGAAACATTTTTATGTGGTTTTTGGGAGGGATGGGCAATTTTTAATGGGGGGTAAACCTTCTATGGTCTTTCTGAGGAGAGAGAGGCTACGTTTTTGGAGTCCTTACGTGCTTCAAGAAGGAAAAGAAATGTTAAAAAAATCATTTTTCTCTTTAACCACTTGCTGCTGGGTGGATTTTTCTTGAGCAAGACAAGATGCCGGGTCCTTTTCAAGATTTTCCGTTTTCAAAATTCTTCAAAAATTCATCATTTCATTTAATGGCCGTTTATACCAAACTGAAGAATTCTTTGGGCACTACTCTAAAGCTGACTGGTAAAATTCATTGACTCCTGAATATTTCCAGCCAGGCCTACAGCCTTGGAAAAAGAGCCCAGATTGTGCAGTGTCATATAAGAAACCGGCACAGTGCACTGCTCTTTTCCATAGGGGCCAGATTAGTGTGCAGCGGTGCTGTGCGGCTCATCGCTGTGGTGGTGGTGGAGAGCTTTTGTCCACGGTGGTAATCCCCTCGCTCTTAATGTCTCAAACTGTGGTATACTGTTTCAAAACAAGGCTGGATTATCTCCACTATTGACAGCAAAAAATGTCAGTAATGCCCAGCAGCTCAGTCTTTTGTGCTTAGCCCGGTCTTTTGTTATAAGGCCCAACTCTTTTGTCCCAGTTCCCGGCTCCCCGGCTCTGCATATAAAGCCTATGTACTCAAAAACGGGCCGCCCGGCAGGGAGTGGTTAAATTTCAAAAAGCAAAAAAAACTTGTCAAGGTCTTCATTGGCCACCTGGATCTACCAATGCCCGGATATGTGGTCAAGACATATGCAGCAAGGTATGAGACGGAGAGAACCCCCCCTGCTTTGTGTTGGTNTGTTGGGGGGGTACCCCTCGGTCTCATTTCTTGCTGGGTATAAGTCAAGAATGCAAATCTAGGACACTCTAGTCAAGGTAACAATGTTTTTCGCACAATGTATACGTCCATTTATAAAGTAAAAGAAAAATGAATAGGATACCCAAACCAGCAAATTGCACTTTCTCTGCAAAGCTGGTTGAATTTTTGGTTGAAACAAAAAGATCAGAGCATTTTACAAAGACACAATTGCCTGTAATACTACATAAAGTTTTTGATTAAACAATCTCCAACCCTTTAACCTGCTATCCTCTTCATACTAACACTAGCATCCCTCTATCAAAAATAGAAGCACATGAAACAAGGCAACATTTGGCAAATATAGGCAACTTGACAGACACCCTTCCAAGGTTCCAGCAGTATTTCAGTATATTTGTGGCCTGTTTTGTGAAAACAATTCACAAGTGGACATTTTTAATTTCAGATCTTTCAAAGAGTCTAGTACAATGGAAACAAAATTTTTGCAGAACAAGTCCCATTGATACAGAATTGACTGTTGCCAATCTAGACTGGAGGCTGCAGTCATTTTAGTTGCGTGGGCCGTCCAAGATCAGGTGAATGCAGCAGAGGTTTTGCCTCATTCATGGCCAAAGTACTATTCCCAGAACCGTCGTCAGTGGCTACACTCGGCATCAACAATGCCATGCCCTCCCTCCGTTCACGACGATTCTGGTTTAGGATACACCCCTGAGGAAAAAAGGCAGAAGAAGCGTAAACTGTACAGAGCAGGAGAGTGGCAAAGTTCCAAAAAATCCAACCGGATTTTCCATTCTAGTAAGAAAACACTCACCTCCGTTTACCTACATTTGCATATCAGCGCGCATGAGCGTCAAACCTCGCTGAAAAAGGTCGCCCAAGCCAGCCACACCCTCCGCGCCCACTGCATGTCCCCCATAAGGGTGCGTAGGACTAAGACTCGTCCTAGTTTTTTTTTTTTTTGAGGTCTCTTGATTTTATTTATTTGGAATAGGGAGGGATGGTAAACAGAGGTGAGTGTTTTCTTACTAGAATGGAAAATCCCGTTAGATTTTTGGAATTCCATTACAGAAAACATCTCACCTTTGTTTACCTACATTTGCAGAATAGCACCGTTAAGTAACAATTTGGGAGGGAAGGGACATGCCGGGTAACAAAGGTCTAAACTGAGCCCATTCAAATATGAAAAAGGCTGTTTTGACATACCCGGAAGCTGCCTATCTAGTTGTGAGAAATGGTAACTTTCTGGGATGTACAGGCTGCTGATCAGCCGACCTGCTTGAGGGTTTTCCTACTCACAACACCCTCTGCTTGAACCACATCCTTCAGGTAGCATGAACTGAAGGTGATTAAATTCTCTCTGCGGGTCGTTTTCATAATGCCTGAAACAGAAACTCCAAGCTGGTGGGCAGAGGACGTTGATGCGCTGCGTGTCTCCTGGGCACCTCATTTCGATCCTCAATATCGAGAGGGCTTACACGTATTATTGCCTCCGAACTCATTTGAGGGATTGTGGTCACAGAGTTGTGATGAACGACTGCTTGATGTCACCTCGTAGGGTCTGCAAACAAGCAAAGAAATGTGTGGAAGCTCTTGAATGGGGCACCACCATAAATCCCCCGCCATTGTTGAAATCACTGTCAACCTGGGATGATGGTACATATATCTAAGGAACAGAAACCGGTTAAATGATCTGTGGAAAGAAACCCCATGTTACTGAGGCATATGACTCTGGGTTGCCAGTAAAGGTGGACTGGTTTGGTGGACTAGGCACAGAATTGGCCTCCTCGTGAAATTGTTCGGGCAGCCATCAAAAATACCGCTTTAAAGGTTGGTTGATGAGCATACGAGCCTGTTGGATCAATGTGAGACTTGGGATACAACGATGCCCTGATCCCCCTCAATGTTTGTAGGGGAAAAACCCTGATGACAGGTGAAGCTGAAGAATGGGGATCAATAGCCGTCGTCTTGTACTACTTAGGAAAGTGGAGAAGACAGCTACCATAAGCCTGCCTGAAGGGCTCCACCGGTGTTGAGCTACCTAGGCAGAATCTACTTCACAAAGTTCAGTTACTCTGAGGGAGACTATGACAGCATCCAAGCACACAAATGAAGGGAGGCTCTATCCAGATGAGCCATTGGAGACTAAGGTTGGTTCAGGAGGTCTCAGCAGTTGAGGAGCCCGACTGGAGAATGAATAAATTATGCATGTAGGCCTATGAGGCAAGGGAACAGAGGCTGTTGTGGCCAAAATGAAGCAAAGCAAGCATTCTGGATAATTCTCTCTCTCATGAGTAATTTAACGTATTCATTATAACAGAAAGGGGAGGTGAAGGCATGAATTCCCTTCACTGAGATTAAGCAAAAATGAAGGGATCAAACTGTGGAACATCCTTGATAACACTGTTTCCCACAAATAACTGGAAGTACCCCTTATTGAATTCCCCTCAACTGTGGTTGAGCAAAAATGAAGAGATAAAACTATGGGACATCCCTAAAACCTCTGTCTCTAACAAGCAAATGGCACGAGTTTCCCTGAGATTGAGCGACAAATGAAGGGATCAATCTTTGGGAATGAAGTTTCCCTGTGGTGAGGCCCCAACGGAAGAAGTCTTCCTCTGACCAGTGGTTGGCTTGAAGAGAGAAACAATACCAAAATGACAAAGGTCCATCCTGTCTGCAGTCTAGAGGCAGAAGGCCTCAAGTAACGTGATCTGGCAGAACTTGTTATCCAACAGAACAACAGGCTACAGCCATAGCTGTAGAAGGGCCAAGACCACTACGCCTCAAATACAACCTCACAAAATACTGGAAGGGCAAAGAGGCAAACTGAGATGGCACCCAGGCTGTTATGAAAATGTCTGTGGTCGTCATCTCAAGAGGGCGCTAACTTTGATATTGCCACCCCCCCCCTTTACATTGTATAAAATAAGTAGTTATAATGAATGGCTGTTAAAAAATAAACCAGTAAGGAAGGCTTGGGCTTTTACGAAGTACCTATTATAGACTGTGCTGTTGAATGGGCACTGTTGATTCCAACACTGATCACAAGGAACCCTAAACTACCTGTGCTAGATGCATCTTGTATGCACCTGTTTTATGGAATGTATGGCATGAAATGGGATGATGACAACCAAGACTCATGAAGGTTTTTTATTACCTTTGCCTTAAGCAACCTAACTATACAGTTGACCATGCTTAGGAATTACAAGCAACTGAAGTCCTAATGTACAACTTGCGCCAGTCAGGTAACCACTATGGGAACCCAAGGAGAAAGAGGTCAAC